GTGAACATTGAACTTGGTGAAATACTTTGAGTTGGCAAGTTTGTCAAGAAGGGTCTTAACATTGGGAAGGGGATATGAATTGACAATGGTATGCAAGTTCAGGTACCAGTAATCTTGGATGAGTCTTCTCTTGCCATCTTTCTTTCCAATGAAAAACATGGGGGCAGCTTGTGAAGATTTAGAAGGGCAAATCTTTCCACATTTGAGATTTTTGTCAATGAACTCATTGAGGGCCTTGAGTTCATCAAGTGAGAGGGGATAGATGGCTCCTTTCTTCAGTTGAAAGCTGGGCTTCAAGTGAATTTCATGATCAAGGAAACCTCAGTGAGGCAGAAGAAGGGATTTCTTCTTCAGAGAAGACTACTGAGAACTCCCAATATTCTGGAGGTAACTCAACTTCTGCTTGTATGTGCAAAGCCTCAAGTTTCATGGAAATGGATGTGTGATTTATCTTCATGGTCTAGGGCAAAGTCAGTTCTGCAGACACAGTTTTTCTTGTCAAGACCATGGTCAAGCTCTCCCCAACTGATCAGCTTTCTGGAGGTCCAGCTGATTATAGGGTTGTGTTCTTTGAGCCACAACATTCCCAGAAGGAGGGATTCCCAATTTCTGAGTTTGAGGACATACACATGGATGCACATGGTCTTTCACCAGATCTTGGCTCTGAAGGAAGCAATATGGGTTACCCAGTCTCCTGTCCTACCTTTGTAACTTCTTGACTCCCAGGGTCTTGCAATTCTTTGTGTTGGGATATTGAATTTTTGGACTATTGCTGGATCAATGATGTTGGTTTCAGCACCTGAGTCAAGGATGGTTCAGATGGTAGTGTTTTCATGATCAATGAGGTAAGTGAAACCAGTGATAGAAGTGATTGACATATCTTGTTCATAATCATACACTTTCTCAGTTCCTATCTTAACCTCTATTTTTTGCAATACTATGGGCTCTCTTCCTGATGCTACTCCAGGAGAGCCTTTCAAAAATCTGGGTTTCCTTTCAGTCCCCCATTGTCTGTGGGTTCGTCATTCTCCCCATTATATTTGTCTTCTGGCTCCAGTTCTTCTTCTTCATCTCTGGAGGCTTTGTCAAACTCCTTGAGCATGGCCAGGATGCAAGTGTGGAATTTCTGGGCCAAGGAAGACTTACTGTTTGTTGTGGATGAGGGGCATTTAGACTTCATATGCCCTGTCTTACCACATCCATAACAGGTAGGAGCTTCACTCTGTGATCAGACCTTAGACTTCTGATCAACATCCATGGCATAAGGGTCTCAGTACAGAGTCTTCAGAAATGAAGACAAATTTGATCTGTGAGAAGATTGTTCTTGTTTCCACAAATAGGAGCAGTCCTGGTAGGTCACTTTTCCAGAGAAGACCTTGAGAGTAGCCATAGCTGCTCTTGCCACTGTTGCTTGGTGAATCCAATCTTTGACAGAGTCTGGCTTGGGGCTGCCCATAAGGATCCACCTATTTACAGTGGCTCAAAAAACTGACCACATGTTTGTATGTTTTACATTAGTTATGACTAAATGCAATAACCCCTAACCCTAGCCCTAAACCATGAGTGTATGAAATAGGGTACTTACTCTTGGCTTTCTATTGGTCCATGAATCAAGTCATTTGGATAGGAATTGATAGAATAGCAGCCATTTGAAAATGACATGTCATGCAGTCAGTTTTTTGACTTTAAGTTTTGATCACATTGTTTTGAGTTTAACAAAGTTTAAAATGCTGTGAGGTGCTTACTAATGCTTACATGGTATATCACATGGTCTATTTGATGATTTGTCATCATAAAAACAATGCCAAACAATGAATTGGGACCATCATGGCTCCCTCTTCTACCCCAACTCATGAAACCATCCTCCTGGTCCATCTGGGCCATTTTCTCACAGTAATCCCCATAAATATTGGTGCCCACTACAGTAATGTCATCAGGGTATATGTCCAACACAATCAAACCCTTAAAAAATCTGCTTTCAGTCATCCCTGTGCTGTTTCCCCCACCCATACCTGACATGTTCTGCACCTAATCAGTACTGAGACAGCTGGAAATGCCATGGAGGTCAATGTGGCACATCAGAAAATGATGAACAAACAAAACACCTCTTAACCAGTACATTTTCACCACAGTACAATTAGTTTCAATGCTGGGGTGAGACAGAACATTCCTGTGCACTTCAGGTGGCATGGGAAGCATGGCTAGACTGTGCTCTCAGCTGACTGTGGATGACTGGGAATGGGTGATTTGGTCATATAAGACCATAGGTAATACCCAGGCCTAGATGGATTGATTGAATCTCCTTCCTAGCAGTTCAGTGGACTATCTCCCCCAGGGCACCTGGACTGTAATGAAGGTTTTCAGCTCACCCTAGCCCTCAACCCAGCACCATTGAGGTGGAACCCACCAGATAAGAGGTGATTGGATTGTTGGTCAGTGTTTTAGAGTGCCAGATTAACCATGATGGCTTTTTCAGCATTCTCAGTACTGATTAGGTGCAGAACATGTCAAGGTATGGGTGGGGGAAACAGCACAGGGATGACTGAAAGCAGATTTTTTAAGGGTTTGATTGTGTTGGACATATACCCTGATGACATTACTGTAGTGGGCACCAATATTTATGGGGATTACTGTGAGAAAATGGCCCAGATGGACCAGGAGGATGGTTTCATGAGTTGGGGTAGAAGAGGGAGCCATGATGGTCCCAATTCATTGTTTGGCATTGTTTTTATGATGACAAATCATCAAATAGACCATGTGATATACCATGTAAGCATTAGTAAGCACCTCACAGCATTTTAAACTTTGTTAAACTCAAAACTAATGTGATCAAAACTTAAAGTCAAAAAACTGACTGCATGACATGTCATTTTCAAATGGCTGCTATTCTATCAATTCCTATCCAAATGACTTGATTCATGGACCAATAGAAAGCCAAGAGTAAGTACCCTATTTCATACACTCATGGTTTAAGGGCTAGGGTTAGGGGTTATTGCATTTAGTCATAACTAATGTAAAACATACAAACATGTGGTCAGTTTTTTGAGCCACTGTATCTCTTCATTAAGGCCTTTCCTGAAAAAGACTGCTGCAGTTGAGTCTTCAGTAGATATGCTGGCCTTGTTGAGGCAATTGCAGAAGTCAGCAATGTACTCATCTAGCAAGTGGGTCTCTTTGGCAGATAGCAGAGAGGTAGATTAGCACAGTTGACTTCACATCTCCTAATTGGAAGGTTTCCTTGAGTTTTGTGACAAATTCATCCCATCCATCAAAAATCCTGAGGTCTCCAAGGGCAGTAGTGTTTTCATTGACATAGGCTTCAGCAAAGGTGTGAGCTGAGCCACTCCCCATGTAGGAGAGGGCAAACATGATCTTGGATTGGTCCTCATAATATATGTGATCATTTGTGGTGAGATAAAGTTTGATGCTGCTCAACCAAGCAGAAAAGTCTTGGTGAGCTCTGGTATATGAGAAGGGCTTGTTCAGGCTAATTTCTTTCAGTCCCCCTCCCTTAGAGTCATGTTCCTTTCTCTTCTCCTCAGAACCTTGGGAGGGGCCCTTAGGCCTTACCACATCTCTGCCAAAAAGGCTTTTGTAAAACTTGGCAGCCATTTCAGGGGTTACCCTAGTCTGGCCAGTGACAGGGTCCTGGAGATTAAGTCCAGAGGTTTGATGTGCAAGTTCTTCTGCCATTTGGGTTGGTAGAAGTCAGTAAGTATATATCTGTAGATGAAGAAGACAAGGGGTCTGCTGGTCTGGCTGTCCCTTGTGGTTGTGTTTCAATATCTGAGCCAATGGGCTCTGGGTTTTGATATGTGGTGAAGTTGATTGGTGAGGTCAATTCTGCCACTTGCCCAAGTTGGGGCCTTACTGGTGGATCTTCAAGACCTATACAGGGGTTCAGAGTTTGCACCAAAGGGTGATGAATAAGTGGCCTTTCTTGGAGGACTTCCTTTCCTTTACAAAGTGGTAGGGGAGGTTTGAATGAAGAGGCTGCTGATGGAGGCCTCTTACTTCCTTCTTCTTGGCATGAAGACACATTGACAAAGAGGAAGGTTAGTGCCAAAGTTTAGGGGCTAGCTCACTGATGATTAACACCAGTGGTTCTTGAGGATGTGGCAAGAGGTGCTCATTTTGCAGGCTATTTTGCCTAGCAAGGATTCCAGAGCACAGGTATCCAAAGGGTAGTCTAGTCTTTGATGTGGCCAGGTGATTCAAAATCCTTCTGTTATGCTGACAACTCATATCATGCCACAAATCAAGTGTGTTAACACAAGCACATGACTAGTGTGAGAAGTGATGTGTAATTTAACTTCACTAGTGACAGGACACTAGTCTTGGCCAACTAAAGTCATACTGTTGAGTCCTCATGGGTACAGTGAGCAGAGCTAAGAGTCGTTGCAAAGTAGATTTCAAATGAGTGAGCAGTACAATACATGTGGGTTTATATACATGTGTAGAGTACCTGTGGAACAAACATTTGAAAACATTTAAATGTACACCCACCTTCTAACTAAGGCATTGTTGAGTCAGACCTATGCAGGCACAAGGGTAACCACATCTAGGCATAAGGGTGACTGAGCCTGCACAGCAGAGGAGGCCAGGGGTGGACATATGACAAAGGAGGGGTAACTGCATATATGATGTACAGGGGTGAATGAGTACTGGGGGTACACATGTCATGTGACTGCATGGATCAGGGCCACCAGTAGATCATGGAAGGAAGGGTGAATGGACATAGTCTGGCTATGGTACAACACAGGGTAAACAGGGGTGAGACATAAAAGGAAACATACACAATGTAAGTCCAGCTGTAAGGACAGGAGTTTGCATGGGGGCAGAACATCATCACTCGAAAGCATGATGAGCACTGAATGTATCATACAGAGTCTGAAAAGGGAATAATGTGAGCACAGTGTAATACAGAGCAGAAGAAGTTGTTTTCCAACTCCACACAAGATGCTTGAGAGGAAGGTAGGAGTAAGCAACAATTGTGACACATGAAGAATGCAATATACATCGAGATCATGAAGGCAATCTTCTCAGTTGATGAGTCCCCTGAATTCCAAGTCCTCACTCAAGACAATCCAGCTGTTTTCACTGCTCCAATCCATAGTTGGCTTGATGTGTACGTCAATTTCTTTTAACCAAAAATTCACTGCTCAACTATTACAGCTTAAAAATGAAATACTGAAAGCAGAATGCACTACTTGGGCAGACAGGTGCCAGGCACACTTATGAGGATCTTGCAAGCAGCAACAGCACAAAAAATATAATTGGTATGTAACTACTTCATTCCTAAACACATTAGTTTACTGATTGTTATCAGCAATGATTGAGAGGGCGTTTCCTTGGTGGGGAGAATTGCACAGGTGGTGGTGCACAAATCCTGCCTACAACAGCACCTGGAGTGCTGCTGATAGTGGGCAGGATTTCACTAGGCATGTGGTTGAACTCTTCAAGCTGCAGCCAAACCCACCATCCAGAGATTCCATCAATCCTGCTGCAGGCCTGCTGAATTCATCTCAGCTGGAAGAGGGTGAAATAGCAGAGGGTGGCGATGATTTTCATACTAATGACAACTTTTTTGCAGATGATTTGGAACTGATGAATGTTGATGGCAACCCCCTCTTTTCACACATCGAGATGCCATCATTTCCCATACCATCCCCCTCCCCAGTCTTCTCTGAGCGAGAGCTGCCACCACCCATTATTCCATTGCCCTCTCCATCCTCTGCTGGATCCAAGCAGTTGCTGTCATCCCTCCCTGCTAATTCCAAGCAGGTTTTCACTCACCCCCCTGCCATCCTTCAATTTTTCTGAGTTGTCTGCTGTCATCTCTCCTCCCCCCTGTTATGCCTGTGTCAGGGGTCCTTCCTTTTTTGACTTCTCAGTGGTCACATGCATCATGTGCCTTGTCACATCTCTCATAACTGTCACTATCCTAGGGGTTCACTTAATGCAAGGCTCCTTTGGATCTCCTGCTGTCACAGTATTTCCAATACCTGTCGAGACTGTGCCTCACCATTGACCCAGTGTTCCACTGCCCTCTTTGATGGATGACATGTCTCTTTCTTGTTCCACTGATTAGTTTCTGACTCATATATGTTGTTCACATGTTGTACTATAGCTCTGGTGCCTGGCTCCTCACTGTGCATTGATTGTGCAGCCAGTATAGCCTTCGTTCCCTTATCTACTCCCATCATATGACACCATATGACTCTGTTTGACTTATCTATTTGACTGATTGTTCTGTTGGTTACTGTGGATATGTGTTGTGACGTGTCTTGTCATGACTGGTATGGTACTCATACTTAGGGGTATATAAACCCACATACTTTACCTTGTATCCTCAGTTTTTCAATAGCTTGCAACTCAGCTCATCTCTTCGCTCTCATTACCTCCTCTGTGTGATCTCAGAAGAACTCACCAGAAGGAGGCAACCTCTGTCAGGCAACCACGATAGCTGAGCCATAGGGGTTATGACAAGTTTGGCCCATAGACTCCCCCTTGTGTGCTTCATGCCTATTCCATTTGAAGAAGTCACTGCACTCAGGCATAACAAAATTGAAAAACTCAGTGCAGCTTTCAGGACTTGTCAACCTCTTTGCAAAAGTCTACTCATCCCTGGTTACTGAACTTCAACAAACCACTTATCCTCCATACAAGGCTCATTGGTCTCCCTCAGTGTAAAGACTCACTTGCATTTGTCCCACTTCCTTGAGTAGCAAGATCGAGAAGCATCCCTCTACCCTCAATCAAATCCACCACTCTACAGGCAGCCACTAGGCTTTAATAGATCACCTCCCTAGAGTCAGCACTTGTGTCTCCCTACACATAAAGTCACTTGCACAATCACCCCACTATGCTGACAGGTTTCTTTCAAGAAATAAATCCTCCCTCAGCCTTCGTTGTCACTATCTGTAAAAGTGTCTAATCCCCAGAAGTCAAAACTGCCAGTCCCTCCTCGACCTAATCCCCTTGGGCTTGGACAGAATCTGCCCTTGCCACCCATCCCTTTAGGATGACTCAGTCCTTCGGCTACTGCAACCAACCCCTGCTTATCTTATCTGTCCTAGTTTTGGGATTCGGAAATTGCACTTAGTTCAGAAGAAGAAGACGATCAGAAGTCTGAGACTTCTTTCAGATCAGTCCTCAAAGAAGAAGAAGCATGTGCACAAAAAGAAATGTCCATGACAGTCAGTCATGGAGATTTGGTTCCTGAAATGCCCCTGAGGACCATTTTGGAAGAGGAACTGAGACAAAGGTTGGAAGAACAAAGAGCCACTATGGTGGAGGAGCTCCACCATGCCATGCATGCAACTACAAGTAACCCATTCCCAACAGGTATGCCTACTGACTCAGCTTTACAAGAATGGTATTGTAGGAGCTTCAGAAAGGCCATACCCCCAGAGTTACCCACTGGAGGTGACAGTAAGGGGAAAGCCAGAGCTGATGATGATGATGACTACTCACGACAAGTTCAGCCCATAGACTCCCACCTCGCATGCTAATGGAGGTTGGGAGTTTAATGTCAGGCATCCTGGTGAATATGATGGAAGCCACAACAGGCTTCAGACCTTGATTATGCAGGTCAAAGGATATTTGAACCTGAACAGACATGTCTACAACATGGAATCCCTCAAGATCTCATTCGCTCTTATGTATATGACTAAGGGCACCACCATGTCCTTCACTGAGAACTATCAAAATGAAAACAAGTTGCTCAATGGGTTGATCTACTATACCAATACCTTTCAAAGGTTCATTGAAAGGCTCAAAGCTACCTTCAAATCAGGAGATCAGACTGCTCTTGCAATCTTGCATCTCTTGGACATCCTAACAAGGCAAACAAGAACTTGAAGTGTATATCAGCTGAGTTCACTGGACTTGTAAACAAGGCTCAACTCAAGGAAGAGTTGCATGAAGCAGGGATCTTCTTCAGGAAAGGCTTGAACAAGGAGTATCATGACTGGGTTCTCAATTCTGGACATGCCCCTTCCACAGTCATAGAGTGGATACAGTGCACAGGAGAAGCTCAAACCACAATTGCAACAAAGCATATCCTAGAAGGGAGGGAATCTTGGTATGAATGCAAATTCATTCATTACCACAGAGGTTCCTGAGATCCTGATGTGGATGGACATCAACAAATGTAAACAGAATGTTAGACATTCCAGTGTGAGTCAAAGTGTGGTTCAGTGGTGAAAACCAACCAAAACCAACACAAAAGACAAAAAGAGTGAGTGGTGGTGTGCCTATGTGGTACCTAGATGGTAGAACCTGTTCTTTGGGAGGGTTTCTGCGAGCTACAACACTCAAAGACAAGTGCTGAGGGATGGGGGTGCTCCTGATGAAAAAGAAGCAGGAATGTGAAGAGAATGTGATAGGGTAGACTGCTGTCAGCCTACAGAAGGATGGATGATGACTTAATTCAATGTCCTAAGCTGCACTGAGCTCAGGGAGGGCTTGGAGCGAAGTATATTGATGATAGACAAGGATAAGCAAAGTAGATGATAGTTAGACCCTTAATAAAGTCTCAACTATTGAAGCTGCTGAATGAATTACTGAGTGATGATAAAATGTGAGCAAGAGGGGCTCTCTGATGTCTTCCTTTTTTTGCTATCTAAGTACAGTGATTTATATACAGTACAGGGGTGTTGCCCTTGGAAAACAAGGTGCAATCACTTGGTAAGTGATTGGTAACTGATGAGTAAGGAATGTAAGCAATGGGTAATCATCTTGGAAAGCATTGGTAAGCATTGGTAAGGATTAGCAGGCCAAAAAGCAAAGAATCAGTAAGCAAAGTCAAAAGATTGGTAAGTATTGGCAATAGGTGAGTCAAAGACAGTCAGAACATCAAAGTATGAGTCAAGTAATGTCAGGAACTGGGAAAGCACACTGGAATCACATTAGGGGGGAGGCTGTGCATGTCACATCTCAAAGAGATTGCTTCTAGGCCAAGGTGGGATGACAGAGAGGCAGTGCTGATCTGATGCCAATATAGTACATCCAAAAGTGGACAGGGTGAGTCAGATGTCAACAGGGGTCAAGCTTTGGGGGTCTGTGGGGTGACAGGAGCATAGGGGATCACAACTTTCCCCCCCAAACCATCCTCTCAGTGAAGCAAATAAAAACTTCATGAATGAGGCTCTGTTGGAAGAGAGGATGAAGGGGGAGTGTCTTCTGCCATATCTTGCAACAAGGAGGCAAGATGTGCATCATACTCATCATGGATGCAATCAGGGAGAGTGGAGAGCAGTAGATTATGCTGTAGCTGTCACAATCTTGGAAGAATGATGGATGAGACTGGTATGAAGACATTGCAGGGAGCAGGGAGGAAGGATCCATATGCTTCTTGGACTGGAGAGACTGAAATGACCACATAAGACCTTTCCAAGTTAATGACAGACCTGAGGTGACCAAAGAACTTTTGAAGGATGCTGTAGATATCCTCAGTAGTGCAACAAGCTACTGATGTATTAGACCAACCTGTAGGTATCTACAGGATATCAGTAAGTATAATACTGGTAGTGAAAGTGAGCTTACCCTCAGTAGTGCAACAAGCTACTGAGGGAACAGTGAATAAACTACTGTAAAATGTGCGCTCTAAGGTGATTATGTAAGCACCCAAACATCGCACCAAAGTGAGCAGAACACAGGGGAGAATATATCTCCAACAAGAACTGTCCTCCTAGAGGCCATACTGACAAAAAGAACACACTGTCCAAGCTGGATGGGCTGAGAGGGCACAGATGAGGGTGGGATGTACCAGGATGCTTCAGGATGAAAGCTGGTAGGAACTCCTGGTAGATATATGTAGCCATGGTCCCTAGCAAAGGGGACAAGTGAAATGATTGATGCAGAGGCAGCCATATCAGAAGAATTTAGCAAAATGAGTGTCTTTTGGAGGGAGTGCTGTAGAAACATGTGGAGTGTGCAAATCCTTTCCAATTTTGGAAGGTAAGATCGTGTGGCTGAGCACTACAAGCGAGTGTGGGAATGGTCTCTGTATCTGCAGAAATGGTGGAGATATGTCGAAAACCAGAATGCCATACACAGGGCACTTAAGAATTTTAGCCAGTGCTTAACTCACTCCCTTTCTCTTTCTCTGGCACTGATGACTTGTTCTTGTGTGAGGGATGACTGCCAACATTCCTGGCTGTCCTTCTTCGCATGAGGGCTATGGTCTTCATCTCCATTCATCAGCTGTATCCATGTCCACCTCACCAAACACCTTTGGTGTGTGACACTGGTTCGGAAATTAAGTGCTTCAACTGTGGAGCCAAAGGTCACATCAAGCATGACTGTAAAATCAAGGTCAAGACTCAACTGTCCAATGTCTACATCATCCTCTCAGAGGACAGAACGAAGACTGCCTACATCAGAGATCATGAAGCAAATGCAGGAGGAGCAGAAGTTGTTGGGTTTTTAAAGGGGACTGATGAATCTCCTGCATCAGTCAGTTCCATCTCTGTGTTGTCTGCTAAATGTACTTCTATAGATGATGGATCAAATATGCAAATTCATTCTTCTCTTGGATTGGTCATTCTACCAGACTACAAGGCAGGAATTTGGGCCTGATATCGACTCAGGGGCTGAAGTCTCCCTTATCTCGGAAAAGATGGTCCAGAAACTTAGGATTCCAACCTATTGGGTGGAAAAGAAGTTCAAGATGACCTTGTTTACTGGAAAAGATGAAGAGTGGGTAACCCACAAGGTAACCCTGAAAATGGAGATCAAGGAGCATGTTGTTTGAGTCAAGTGCTATGTTAGGGCCCCTTGTCAGAAAAGAACATGTCCTTCTCAGGATGCCTTTCCTC